CGTCGCCGTCCCGCTCGACAACGAGAAGTATGAAGGATTGTCTGTGAACATGCGGATTCAAGGTCATAGAACCTCCTCCGCAAACTCGTACGAGGACGCTTTCTGCCTTGTTGTTCAGCTTAATCTTTTTTTGGCGTCATTTCACGGCATTTGATATTGTAAATACAGTTGTAATAACGAAGATTGGAAGGTTTGAAGTTTGAAGATTGTGTGGGTTAAGCTAGTTCGATTTAGAGAATGACATTTTCTCTGTTGACGAGGGTCTAGGTGATTTTAGGTCAGCAACGTTTTGTTCGTTATGTCAATCACGAGGATAAGTGATTTGTTGTTGCCCCGTCACACTTGAGATAATTTAAATGATTTAGATTGAAAGGTAGAAGGTTCGAAGTCTCGACGCGTTATATTAGTTTGATTTAGAGAGTGACAATTCTCTGTTAATAAATGGTCCGGTTCTTTAGGTCAGTTTTTATTAAACACAAAGTTGAACGACGACTCGTTGAATGTCCCTTTTCATCGATCACAAGGGTAGATCATCGATTTTTTCATCTCAATACACTTTTATTCGGAAGAACAATTTATCCATGAAATAGACGTATGTCCCAATACTTGAATAGAATTATCGACACTTTGAATGGCCACCAAGAATTTCAATAATGTAAAATGTCATTAATATCGGTTGAATATTCACGTTATCACAGATCTGAATATTTCACAATATTTTTCCACGAGGACAGGTAGGATAGAGCACGCGTTGGAGTAAAAAAAGTGAAAAAGTATTCGCGACTAGACGAACACGAGGTCCACCTGAGACTGTTCGGTTCCAGAGAGATACACCATGCCTATAGGACGCCATGAACGATTCGAATGGTACTTGAAAGTGGGGGGATGGACCGGACGTGGTATTGTCCCCCACCCTGTAAACCAGAAGCGAAGAACGAGACAGCCGTACGCGGCACCGGAAGTCCGCCGTAACGTTGTGAACGATCCGCGCGTTATTACTCTCCGAAGATGAATTGACCTCGTACTGTGACGAAAGAAAAAAAAAGAGGAGGAGGAGGAAGAGGAACGAAAGGGGAAGGATTCACGAGGCGAGCTTCCTGCGAAAACGAGATGGTTTCGTGTTTGTGAAAATATTTTCCAGACGATCTTTCGATCTTGATTTAAACGTGAAGGATCCTGTGATATATACATATAAAAAGATATATATATGTATCTTTTTTTTTAATTTGCGAAACGTCGACTGTCTAGGTGGATGAGATTATTACGTTTTTTTAAAACTTGTGATTGTAGTACGGTGTCCTTTAATATTTAATAACCGTAAAATTACATTTTTGGAACCTCGATCGCGTCGTATAAAATCATTCTGTTGTAATTTTCTTTTATACTCTTGCAATCTTTTCGACTGAAGGCTTGTAAAGTAAAATAAAAACGTTTGTTTCACGGTAAAATTCAAATTAGTTATCTCCTGTTGTTTGTTATATGCACGCACAATGGTCAGGTTATTGTAATCGTTGTTTCTCGTCGCAAAACCACAATGGAAATGATTTCTAAGATAATGGGATAATAGTATTGTACAATTTTAAGAAGCTTCAATTCCCTACGATTAACTCAGTAAAAATTTGAAATCTCATGAAATGAAATTCGAGCTTCAATATAATTAATGAGTTTCTCCAGCTTCGTTGTTAGTTCTTCCCTTTTTTATTTTGCAATTCGATTCTTTTTTGCATTTTTATTTACTTTTTCAATCGTTCGTTTTTATCTTTACGTTTTCTTTCCTTCGATAAATTAACTAACTAATAATTTCACGAAATGTTGTTTTGCAGCGAAGGAAAAGATAATTAAAAACGAGATATAAGAAAATTGTAGACGGTTTTTGGAATTTGCATGATCAGTAGGGTCTACGTAAAACGAATACGGGAAAGGAGAACGGTTTCCAAATACGTTCGTCGCTTACGAATTTACTGATCGAAATCTTTCACCAGAATTCTACTTCTCTTCGTGCACTTTTCGGACGTGTTCGAAAATTTAAGAAGTATCCTAAATATCCGATCTTATACTCGTTGCGAGCTTTGACTTTTTATTCGAATTTCTGTCCATTTGAATGTTTGGTCTATGGTAAAAAATAAACGTTTACCATTTATTATGTATAGCTTATAAATAAAACCTTAAAAGACAAGAGAAAAAGCATGGAATAACACGCGAAAGTGTCCGAGCATTCGTAAAAAAATCTTTTTTAAATGCATTACACGTGTTGCATGAAATCTTTTGAAATATCGTTAGCTCTGTATCAAATTAAGAATCAACGACGCGAAATTTAATTATACTCTACTGTTTTGTAAAACATTTTTACTGTGTTACCGTGAGAAAAGAGTACGCGAATACAGAAGCTTTGAGCGTGTACAGAACGAGCGACGTGAAATAATTAAAGCCCTCAACTTCAACGTGAAGCTTCTTAAACGTGCAAACCAGGCAAACGAAAGAATTCAATGAATACAAAGTATACAAAGAATACAAAAGGGATGTAAAAGAAAATTGCAGGAGAATAAATTCAAACTATCAGAATAATACAATAATTCTTATAAGATTTCAAACTTCCTAAAGATCCTCGAGTAAAAGGAATCTTCAATGATCTTTCAACAACGAAACTAGACTGAGTTAAAAGATTCAAGCTGGACGTGAAAAGAGCATCAAACAGAACGATTAAAAGCAATCTCTGATTTCCTAGGTTTAAGTTTCTAACTTAAAAGACCAAGAATTTAAGAAAAAGAAAAGAAAACAAATTGTCAAATGAAGAACAATAGGAGAGACCTGTAAAACGATCGGCGAAGCTATAAATAAGAACGAATTAGAAATTCTTGGCGGCTGTCTGAAATAACGTTCCCGGCTCTTTCAGGTATACATAGTCGATTTGAAGCGGCTGATCGAGGATTCGTCGGCAAAGACATTAGCTCACGTCACTGACGATACGCGAAAGGAGAGAAGGAGAGAAGAAAAGTGCATCGTGAGGGTGGAATACGCGGTAGTCGTCCCGCGATACGCGTGATTATGCGTGAAACGCGTGACTAGGCTGCGAAAACGTCCTCGAGATATACGTGACCGCAGATTGGTCCAACAACAGGCGATGCTTACCGACTGCCATGCTGACCCCTTGCCACCAGGAACCTTCGCTGCTCCCGTCTTCTGCAACAGGAACAACACGATGCATTTCGATCGTTCAGGTGGAAAAGAAATTAAAAAAAGGTAAGAGAGAATGTCAGATACAAAGATTGTTATACGTGGGAAGAATCACTGTATTTTATCGCTATTTAACGCTATTAGGGAATTATTCGAATAATCTTATGTATCTTAATAATATAATATAATAATAACATAACGCATAACATAATTAATAACATAATTATATATAGCCTATCTAATAGAATTATTATAAATGACGAATTATTGGAATTACTTTTTGGAATTTGTATGCAATGATTCTTACAAAGTATGAAGATTATTATTCGTGGGAAAAGATTGTCTGTAATTGACATTTTTATCGCTATTTAATGATAGAATCACTAGAATAAAAATAATTCGTTGTTTAAAATCTGCAAGTTTTCATAGAGGTTTTATGATAAAAGTAGATTTATAAGGGTGCATTTCTGAGAATTTGAATATCGTTATACTTGTATCTTCGTTTATATCAAATAATATTTTCATGTACTTCCTATTCCGATTTTTTTCGTACAAATCTTATATCTTAATCGTTGTTCGTTCCAGCGTCGAAGAAAGGAAAAGGAGAGGAAAGTGGAACGAGTTTGAAGATTGCCAGTCAGTGCACTGTTACGTCGCTTGGATAAAACGTGAATGGGACGGCCCGTGGCCTGATCCCAGTTTCTCACTGTTCTACCCCGTTCATACACCATAAACCTGTCGTAGTTGTCGCCGACACTCTCTTCCCCGCGATCGCGCTAAATATAATATTCCCGCGTATTTTCAGCGATGAATGAAACGACATGCGACCTCTGAATCAAAACACCTATGAAACAAGATGAAAAGTTTCTTTCGGATAGCTAAGAAATTCCTCCGTGTTTTTTACATCTTTTATTTTTTCTAAAGTTTTTTTGCGTGTTCGTTTTGTCGACATTGCGCACTAACATCATTATGTAGGGTGGTTTACTGTGAACGATCTTTAACTAAACAGGTTCTAAATTTCGTTCGAAATACGCGTATTTGTTTAAATGGCGCACTTTGTTGCTCTCATTAAGACGTAGTATAACTCACAGAAAGTTTTTAGAAAAGTGAATAAGAATTGAGCGAGAGTGAAGGAGAAACAGCAAATCCAAGGAGTTGAAAATCTCTTCGATAAGAATTCATTCCTTTTTACTTAATAAACTTTAAATTTGATTTAAAATACGTATACTTGTGCGAATACCATACGATTTCACTTACATCACTATAAATAGCATATACAAGGTGGCTGGTAACTGGTGGTAGGACTCAAGGAATTTAAAGAGCATTTGAAACACGAGAGGCACATAGTGAAGAAGAATTATTACGAAACATTAGCGAGATGGAAGACGATGTCTCTCATCAGCGACTGGAGAGATACAAGAAGATGCTTTCTCTTTAGCTACGACCTTGATTGACCCTGAGTAACTATGGTCGCTGAATTCGTCGGAATGTGAATTACGTACATTCGTAGATACACAAAAACGTACTGTTCTGTTTAAGGAAAAATCTCAGTGACCTTCATAACACTGTCTTGTATCACAACACGAGATCCAGGAAAAAGTTGAGTCGAATAACTGATTTTCTAAAACGTCTCAATTTTATCTTACTCTTTTGAATAATATTTACATATACAGGATAGGTTGGTAACTGGTGGTACAAGCGGAAAGGGGGCGATTCTACGCGAAAAAAGAAGTCGAAAATATAGAATAAAAATTTTTCCTTTGAGGCTTTGTTTTCGAGAAAATCGACTTTGAATTTTCGCCCGGTACGCGTGCACTTTATCACGTCTCGTTATAACGGATCTCACTGTAGATCGTTGTCTCGACGGAAAAATTAAAAAAAAAATTTTTTTTTAATTTTTATTCTATATTTTCGACTTTTTTTTCGCGTAGAATCACCCCCTTTCCGCTTGTACCACCAGTTATCAACCACCCTGTATATTCAATGTTAGGATTACCCATTTACTATACTTGTATATAATAAATACAATGACCATGGTTGGAAATTAATAGTTACTACACATTTCTGGTCTGCAGCTTTAGCCAATCTAATCGTACCACCTCCTTAAGGATTAAGATCGTATAGAACCTACGAATATTAAAAGTGCAAAGTGCAAGTGTAATCTTTAAGTTTCTCGCTCCACCGATAATCATAGCGAAGTCTGAATTATAATGATTGCAAATTTAAACGAGCATAGTGTAAAATATGAACAGGAGAGAAACAAATTATGAGTTTATCGGAATTGTAAATCATTTCACGAATTCATTTTGTTTTCTCTTTTTATCATTTTTTCGTTCAGGAGTCCATCCTGGCCGAGCTCATTACAATTCCCGTGATTTTCTGACGGTGGTTCTCCTTGTCTCAGGCCTCATATCGTTAACCGAAGGTGTTACAAAGTGTAATTTTATTCACAGACATGCAACGATAGTTTCACTAGCGTGCTGCTATTAACTTCTTGTACAACCGCGCTTTCATCCACTTCATTTGCATCCATAGAGCGATATTTCGATCGATCGTTAAACAAGAAGTTTACGTCTGTGTCTTGCGTGTATTCGCGTATGCGCGTATATGTGAGAATAATATTTTCCATCTTGTTATTCGTATTTAAAGCTTGAAAAATTCTGATTCTACAAACTATTGTTGCGTTATTTTTTATTTACCTCCTTGTCCTGTCAGGTTGATGAGCTGTCAAGCAGCCAACCAACATTAATTACGTAAGGTAGAACGCCCTAATATGTAGTCGCAACTCGATACACGCACGCCAACCCCGTAGGCTTTACCGTGGAACACGGTAGAAACACTTCGTTCAAAGTTACCTCAGAAGCGACTCAGCTTGAAGTTGGACGGACGAAGTTTAAGTTACCGAAGTTAATTCGTAGTCCCGTTACTTGCTACTTCCATTAACTTCGTTCGCTTAAGTGCTAGCTATAACGAAGAATAATTACTAATTTCGTTAGAATATTAATAGCATTACTAATTACTAGAAAATTAACCGTTACCATAGCAAGCATTCTAATAATTATGAATAAAAGATATACGCTTATGGAAATTATACTTTTTAAAATTGTTCGTTTTTATGAAATTGAAAATTTTTAGAAAATGCCTAAGAAATTTAAGGGATCGTGTATGTCACGAATTATATCGATTACTTCTGCTTGCTATTTTATTTATTTTATTTATTATATATTTCACCACTCATATACTACATGTGTTTCTGCATGTGCGTCCCTTTTGGCCTACAAACTTGCCTAGAACCATTTGGGCCAGTGTATGAATTAAATATATGTATCTTACCTATATAAATTAAACGCAACTCTATACTAACATTACTATTGTTATTACTTTATCAGCAGTGTCGACAAGTGGTTTCTCTTTATTTTTCTATAATTCCTTTCAACTTTTAATGTATTTAAATTCTGTGCATAATATATAGTTCGTTTTACAGCGTAATACATTATAACAATATATAGTCCACAATTACATCTAAATCTATAAATTTGATATATAAAGTTAATCTACGTTCGACTTTGCCCAAGTGTCACATAAAACACGTCCCGTAGCCCGGATAGCACACCCTCGCAGACTCCGCCAGTTTCACGCAACGTCCACGTCCCAATCTCCTACATCATTGCGAAACTCACCGCAATTACCGAACTTCTCCACCGATAACTCTCTATGCTCCCATTACATTCTATCCCTCGGTTACTCGAAAATTTACGTCGTTCGCCATGTTCCTCATCTAATCGCCGGCAGATCCATGGAAATTCGTTTCCACGGAACTCGCTCGAGGAATACCGTGACCGAGAGTTGGTTGTTCCGTCGTTCTCGAAGCGGGCAGACTCGCGGCGAACTATTTTCGTGCGGCTTCCGTCGACGAGCAATAAAAAGGAAGAAGAAAGAGAAGCAGAGAGAGAGAGAGAGAGAGAGAGAGAAAAGAAACGGCGGAACGTGCCAGAGAAGAGAGAAAGAGGGAGAAGAAGAAGGAAAGGCACGACGTTAGGGTTATCGTTCCCATGAAAGCTCGTACAAGCTCTGATTTACTCTGCTGTCCAAATGGATCAGCTGATAGGTCGAATCATCGTCACTCCGTTGTATAAATTTGTCTCGAATTCGTTGCAATGCCGCGAGCCAGAACGATTCGTTTACTCGTTTTCACCTCGTTTTCACGTTTTGTAGGAAACGCGACGATGAACTGGAGTTTCGTTGGTGAAATACAATCTGAGGGGCGAATGGGCTTTCGTGTCTTTATACTTGATCTGATCTTGTTATCGTCGTTACTGTGGTCACAGAGCTGCTTTTGCATTATTTGCTACGTTTTGTTTATTAATTCTTTTTGTTAGGTACGAAGAAACACGTTTGATTCTTTTTCTCTTTTTTTGTAAAGATTAGCTCGGTGTCTCTTCTATATTGTCGGCTAAAGCAGTTTTTCTAAAACCTCTTCACAAAATATTCCTTTTCAGAGAATATCGTGACAATTTGCCTTCTTTAATAATTTCACCTTCGTTCGATTGATTTTTGTTAATACGAATATAATCTTTTTGTAGGTAATAACTTTAATGCTTTTATTGTGCTTGTTACGTCGTCACGTTGTTTGGATTGCCGCTATTTTTCACCATATATGCACGTAGTTACCGCCATTATCTTTGAATTGTCCTCGCTAACTGTGTAGCTAGTTGTTTCATTTAATTCACGTCCCTTATCGTATATATTCCGTATCACATTGTATTCTATCGTAATTTCTACTGTTATATAGGGTGCTCCAAAAACAATTTAGTCGATATTCCTTCTTTCTTATAAAATTAGAAATTTTCATGCAACGTATTTAAGAGAATAACGAGAAATCGCTTCTGAAAATTATTTGAGAATATCGATGATTAATTCACTACATTCATTAGTTCCCACGAGCACCACGAACGCATGGCGAGTGACTGCCAAACGATTCGTAGCGCACCAAGAATTTTCGAACGTGTTCGGAATTCCGTGAAACGACTTTGTGAATCTTCGTTCAGCTTTTGTTAGAAACACGACGATGCCAAAAAATAGTTCTTAGTTTGAAGAAGAATACAAATGCCAAAATTTGAAGATTTCAAGATTTGAAGATTAGAAGAGTCTTGTTTGTTGCCTAAGGATCTACGTGCGAGGATCTTAAGAACGAGGCAAATGTTGCTAAAAAGAAACGAGGTCACGACCATAAAAATTCATGAATCGATACACGAAATCTATAAATTCTAGTACCCGTGAACGAAGACCTATAATCCATGAATCCCAGAATCTGATAATTCTGGTCAAGTACATAAATATAAGAATTGGTGAATGCTGGAGTCCTAAATGTCACGAACCTAGGAACACATGAATCCTGGAATATGTGAATTAGTATGGAGTCGATCAAATCTAGAATCTATCAAACTTAGAATGTGCGAATTCTAAGATATATGATACCTAGAATTTATAAGATCTAATGTTCATAGGATCTGAGTTATGAAGATTAAAACGCATTCCGAAATTCTAAGATCTAATATACTAAATTTCCTGAATCTTAGTATCCTGAAATTTACGAACCCGTGACTTGAGACATATACAACAGCAAAAAAAAAGGGTACTCGGTTGCTCTTTTTCGAAAGAGCAACGTGCAAAACATGCGCAGCTCTGAGATTTACGTATCAACGTAATTTACGTACTTGTTAATTAATGGCGCGTCACATGTAAGAGAACAACCTCGCGTAAAAGTTAATGCGCGTACGTCCCTCTTATGGAGGCACGTGCATCGTTGCTTGGATGCGCTGCTTTTTTCATCGTCGGCAGGTGCTGCACTGTGGTGCATCAGCTACGTACAATAAATTAAGTGCAGTTCAGCTTGACCCGGCAGCGATCGACGAACTTCTTTTTTACCTTGAGGCAAAAATAGCGGCGTGTTTGGCGTTTCGTCCGGTTTGCGTGAGATTTTCAACTTTTCCCGACTACTCTGTCCTCTTTTGGGAAACGGATTAAGAAATTGGAATGGAAGTTTCATGGTTAAGCTCAAATTTCTATCTTATGATTCAGAATTGAAAATAGAATTGGAAACTCTTTATGAAGAAGTTTTTTTAGTTCCTTTAAGAATGAAAATAAAAAATGAAAGGACGACCATTTCACAAGGCGATTATTCTTATATTTAATTTCGATAAATTGTTCTCGTTATATATTTGTTATTATTAACAATATGTATTTCGTAAATACACAGAGAGAAAGAGAGAGAGAATTATATTTTATATTTTCTGAGGATGATCTTGAGCTTTTTTAAACGATGTCGTATATTTTCTATAACATTAGTCGATCCAGCTAAACATTCTTTACAAAAGAGTATTAACCTACCTATATCGGAAAACCGTTAGTTTGGCAGATATTTTTACCTTAATTGGTTAAATTTAATGTATGTTACATTTGTTAAATTAAAGTTAAAATATCTGGAAAAACCAACGGATTTTCGGTATAAATAAGTCAATACTTTTTTATAAAGAACGTCCAGATGGATCGACTAATGGTACAAAGAATATACGGTATCATTTAAAACACTCAAAATTATCTTGAAAATAAAATTCCATCCATCCGATGAATTCCTTGAAATGCAGTGTAATTCATTTAAAACGTTTTTCGACAAAACCAATAGATCACGAGTTATTCTAGACAGTACTTCTTATTGACTTACCCTGTATATAAATTGTATGAAAATGCGATTAACAAATTTGGAATTTCATAAATTTTTAGATGGTGCTTCAAGTTTTAAATTTTGTATTAAATAGTTTCCTATTTAGTACACATATATTATCTTTATTTTCGGTTCTAGCAGACAAGAAATGGGCTCGGTTTTACACAAGTCTAAAATATCTGATTCAGATTTCGCCACATGCATTCATTGCACACGTTCCCTATCCTATACCTATCCATATATACAATACATATCTACACGCTAAGTGGCATTTAATCTTAATCTTTTGCTAAACTACTACACTTTGGTTTGAAATTTGCACTCTATTCCTCTTTTTTCTATGCCCTTTAACCAATCCACCACCTGATCATTTATCCTACCCTCCTTCGCTTTTCCCCTCCACTTGATAGTATCTAACTCTTTATAGCCTTGCATAGCATAGCATAGCATTTTTCTATTTTATATTTCCATATTCATTCTCTTTTATATTTGAAAGATCTCTCTCTCCAAGGAAGGAAAACGCATTTCTTAAATATAAATTACCCGAATGTCTGAAATTGTTAAAGTTTAGATTGTTATTTTATCTTCCCTTAAACTTTAAGGACCTTCTTTTAAACTTCTAATTCTAATTCTATAATAAAAATTCTATAATAAAAATATAATTCTATAATAAAAATTCTAATTTACAACAATCGTATTTCGATGGCCATATTTAAAAACGAAGTCAAACGATGTTAGAAAAATCGTTGCATCGTTCGACAAAAATTCTTATTCCAACTTCCGCGATGGACTGAAAGTCAAGTGTTTCGTACGTGACACGCATTTTCACGCACGTCGTTTGCTGATTACACAATACACCGCGTTTATGACTCCCATCTTGGACCAACGCACGCACTACACATGCACGTTCCATCCTCGGATCATCCACTCTACGTCGTTTCTCATGGTTCAAGGTCTCACGATCGAATTCGGTGCAAGCACGTTTTGGTTTCTTTTTTTGGATCTCGTGTACTTTCTCTTAGAACGATACCCGAATTTATTAGCAGTAGCACACGAGACCAGAAATTCAACGTAATTAATACGTTACAATTTAATAAAATGATGCATGGTGTTAGCGAGAAAAGGTAACAAAGAATAATTGTACTATAAAATTTTAAAACTGAGTAGCAATATGACTCGGTATTAATTTGACAAAATTAGTTTAGGAAACTTAGTTTAGATACTTCTATAATAATACTGAAAGATAGTTATCAATTTTGTAGAACGATCATCTTTAAAATAAGAGGGATAAGAAAAATCGATACGTCTCGAGAAAGAGGCCTGATCGATACAGCTTACAAGTTTGTATTATCTTTCAAATTATCTTATGAAACATTGACGTACAACGACTATACAAATCTATTTTACAGTTCATAGTCCAAAAACAGATGCCCAATTAAAATACCGATGAACGTCATCTACCTAGATAAAAAAAGATTACAAACTATTTTTGTAACTAACTTATTTAGATATTCTATCTACCTATCCTAATCAGAATTACTAAATCTCTAATGAAATTCTTTGCCTAATGAATTTTTTTCGCATATATACACTTCATTTATTGAAAAATAATATAATAACTATAATTTTCATTTTTAAGTATAATTAATTACGGTTTCAATATTATAAGATGATAATACTACGAATAAGGTACTTATTTACATAACGAAGTGGTAATTTCTTTCAAAACCCTAACGTGTATCAAATCTCCGGTAGTATAATTTTCCATTTCCTTTCCACTCGAAATATAAAAAATCGAAACACAAGGGAAAGGTAAACGAAGAAAGAATTATATAAAGGTACAGAAATACAACTTACATCGAGGTCGGATTGGTAGTTACCAACGAAACGAATTCGCGTGTAACGTTCGAGCGTCTGGTTAAGTTCGGCTGTCAGGTTCGATCTATTAATATACACTGCGAGCCGCCTGCCTAATTCCTAATGGAATATTCGTACAGATTTCTCGACGTGGATGCCTTAAAAGTATTCGTTGCTGGAGCACGTTCGACCATAAGTTATTTTTCGCTTTGGGTTCGTTTAAATATTTCAATAAGTGAGTCGATACACATATAAATTCAAGAAAAGAAGATTCTACGAATGTTCTATATAATTTCTACATATGATCGTGAAAACATTGTAAATAAAGAAATCGATTTTATTTTGCGACGAAGATAAACGTGTTAAAAAAGATGTTATGAGATTATACTTTTTAAAATATTATTTGTGAATAGTAATAGTAGAAAACGATTCATATTGTTTTATAATAGACGTAGACTGAAGAGTCGAGCCATGTTTAAGGAAGAAAGTTTTGGTTTCGTGGAAAGCGACGCGAGGACGTTCGATCAGCTGATCGTCCACGTGCTCCGCGTACGCGAACAATAATCTTCCTCGATGGAGGGAAACTGTGATTAGACTCGATAGAATCTGTTTTCGAGGGAAAATAAACCAGCGTTCGTGTAACGTCAGAGCAATAACGTATCGATGAGTCGAGATGTTTCATAAACAATTAAGACAAAATGTGAAAATTTGTAATAAAAGTATAACAACCATAATCATCTTACCTTTAATTTTTCCTAAATAACTGATCGAAATTGCTTCTTAAAAAGTCCATTCTTCTTTGTGCCTTATTTTCTTCTTTTATCATTTGACGATGGTTTCTTTAAATACAAATATTTTTAAAGTCTTTTGTTCCTTTTTAAGAATATTTTCTAAGATTCGGTTAATATTTTAATAACCTCAAGTGATTGTAATATTTTATTTCGAAGCGAATAGTCCGGATCTGAAAAGTGGATGTAATTAATTAACTGTTCGAAGAAAAGGCACTCGTAGCCATACGATTTTTTGCGTGTGCAAATGGACGAAAGCAGTGCATGAAAGGTGGCATTATTCGTTCGTAACGAGACCCTTCGAACGCTTCGATAACCCTTTTTATTCTGTGTTCTCGAAGCTGTGCATCAAAGTACACTTCAGCGGCGCGCGTTTAGAAAACGTTAAACGATGCTTCTGCTGGCTTTTTGTTCGCGTTCCACTTCGATACACTTCTCCAAAAGTGGCCGAGATCAATTAGAATATTCCTTTCGACGTTTCTTATTTTATATTTTCCATCTACTTTGTATCCTCTTCAATTTTTGCGTTACATTTCTCGTTTTTTATCATCTTCGGTAATTTTTTATTCGTTTCTGGAACGATACATAATTAAATTCCAAAATTATTTTTTTCTGTGTGTTGTACCATGGATGTATTTATGTATTTATGTGTGATAACTGTAGATGTTTGACGTAGAATTTTCTATTTTTCTCTCCTTACAAATTTTGTCTCCTTTCGTAACCGATCGTTTCTCAAGCCTTTTCGCCTATTTTCTAATTCTTCTCTCGTTTAACTTCCCAAAACGGCTCCCAAATTCCTCGTGAAGACCTTCGAACTTCTATCTTTAGACGAATCGTCCTCCAAACTTCTATTCAAACTATACCTACACCAAATCGAACCGGAATACTTGTCTTCGATGTCGCTCGTAGAATTTTAAAATGAGATTTTCGATCTGATTGGCGTTAAAACTATCATCGAGCTTTTGTCTCGAGTACGACCAGTGAACGATCGAAGAAAACAAACCATAAAGAACCTTCGAATCAACGTTTAACCTCTATCGAATCTTTCGTTGGAAATTCCGTTCGGTTACCATTGAAAATTTGTTCCTAGTCACTCGAAGTCTCTCTTCTTTTTCTCTGGGCCAGAAACCTCCGAAGAAACGCTCCTCGAGATATTCCGGAATCTTATCTTCGTTCAAGTTCAAGTAATATTATCAGGGAAATGCCAATTTTATCCGGGTTTGAAGTTTCTCTTGTGTTGACATCTCCACGCTTCGAACCATCTATTTCAAGAGTCTCTTCCTCAAACAAGCAACTTCTTCCTTCAACATGGCTTCTTGAAACGAACACTGCTTAAAGTGTCTTCAGAACTCTACCTCCAGTCTTAACGATCATATAGCATCTTTTACCATCATATAGCAATTACAATTTTATCTACAAATTCATCAATTTCTACGTGATTATGCACAAAATCTTCCTCTTCAGATAACGAACCTCTTCTTCGAACGGAATATGTTGGAAGAAATACTTTGAAACTGTATTTTCGCACGAGTCAACCCTGCATCACCGTCAATGATTTGATTCCCCTTTGATTTATGAAAATCGATTCGTTGAATTTAAGTTTCTTCTTTTCCTAATACTTCTTCTTTGAGCATAGGGTGCGAAACGTGAAACTTCTTTCTCTATGCTCGAGGCAAAGAAGAAATTTGAAAGAAAGAAAAAAATTGAGGCTTCTGGTATTATTCTGGACTGGTGGTGCGTGGGGTTGCGGACGAAAGAAGGCCGCACGCAGTCACGGCACAACACTTCACGGAATACTGACAAGTCAGAGCAGAAGAGGAGTCCGCGACGATGCCATGTGACCGTCATTTGTGCTCTCCTTCTCTTCTCTTCACTGCCACCACCCACGCATCTGGCAGTGGCTAGAAGAAACGCCCATGTGCGACCAAAGCAGCGTTATTTCGAGATAAACAAGGAGTACGGTCGAAGAAGCGAAATCGACGAGCGCACGTTTATGTTTCGGACTGTGTACGTACATGTGTGCACGAAGAGTGTAAAAGGGAAACTGAGGGTATATTCCTCGAAAGGCGTGAGGTATACGCGCCTCGACTAAATATAATTGCCCGCGTGAATCGGTTTCGAGCTGGAGGACGATTGGGATGACATTGAGGAAGCTTCATGGAAAATTTCGAGATCCTTTGATAGCAGAGAAAGGATTTTCAGGGCGAATGGATGGCTAAGAACGATTTGGGGCTATTTGGGAGAACTTGAGGAAGTTTGGATCAGTTTGTTGATTGAAAGGAAAATGGTTCGTTCATAATTCACATTGTCGTTAGGTAATATGTGTTTTTATAGGTAATTATACTTCCGTTTGTTGAAGGTATCTGTGATGGAAGCACGAGTAACTTTAGTTAAAATCGGATTTCCGTAGTTCGTAAAGTTCAATTTTAATCGTCGGGGTTGACAATTTTGTCGGTAAGCAATAGTCCGCAGCTATTAGAAACACAATTTATGTTTTTGTACCAATAGAATCCACAAAATGTGAGGCATTTCCTCGATACTTCACAATCCAAGCGTTTAGAAACTCTAAAAATATTTCAACCACAGCAGTGGAAATGTAAATTTCCCGTGGGATAAACGCAATGTCAAGAACTTTTCCGTTACTACAAAACATAGAGAGAGAGAGAGAGAGAGAGAAGAAAAAGAGAGATCTTAGAATCTCATTCTTCATAGAACAAAACGAAGCACAAAGATATTCCTTTCTACTCTTGCCAAAAACTATAAAACAGAGTGAGGCACATAAAAACACAAGAAAAGGTCGTTTAAATCTACGCTCTCTTCACGCTCAAACAAAGCACAACTTAAGCAACATACATCCAACCCTGTTACTACAATTTAACCCTGTTACCGTCTTTGAACTTTTATATCGTAAGTGTTCGAATACTTTCATGATTCTGTGTACTTACGATTACAAGAATTCCATTTGTCTACGAGTTCTATTTATCGGAAAATTCAATTGACGCGTTTTCTTCTTCTCCAAGATGTTCTCGTCGATCTCGAGGAAGGGTACGCGATGAGCGTGCGCGCGTACACTAGCGGCCACAAAGAATTTCAGATGGGGTAAGGTTAGTGCCGCGCGCGTGCACGCTAGCGTGTCTGTCACGCATGTGCGTACGGAAACAGAGCGGAGCGTGTGTTTCCTCCTTCGGTGCCGCACCGCTCTGCCGCGGATGGCCACGTTTCCTTTCGGTGTAGAGCACTGTGACCCCTTTACACACGGTATTCCCCTCCGTATCACGGTGTTGCGCGTAATCGGCGAAACGATCCGTCGAAATAATCCAGATTCTTAATAACACACGACGCAACAAGATTGCACGGACGAAGAACCGTTTATCGTGTTTGATCATCGCCGGGCTGCTGTGCCGCTTCGCAAGTATAAGTAATTTTGCCTACGTTTCGTGCAACGCTACAAAAATTGTCTGTGCGGAAGATACAGCGTGATACTTAATCGATGAATAAGATAAAATTTCGAAATAAATGTTAAATGAATATAAATGGGGCGCAAATTGCTCGTATAACTGGCGTTCGCTGGTTTCTTCTCTTATCTATGATTTTTCGTTCGCACAATTTAATTAGTAGAAGTTCATTTAATTGCACACTAATTAAAATTTCCAATAAATAAGATTCTTAGATAAATAAAATTCTATTGTAAATAATCTCTGCTTACGTTTTATACAAGGCAAGAAAACGCAGTTACGTAGAAGATACGGGATGATTGCTAGTGGGAGAATAGCACAAACTTCTAGAATAAATTCTGTATAGACAATAGAAGTCCATTTATTAATACAAATGGGGGAGAATCAGTTGCTGTAATTGAAGCTCATACATGTAACAAGAATTGATGATTTTTCGTTTAATGGAAATACAAATTTAACAGAAATGCATTTAATCGAAGGCAGTATAAGTTAAAGTAGTACGTTGTATATAGAAAAAAAAAAGAATAAAAAAAAAGAAGGCTCATAGAGAGCGAGCGAGAAAAGGATAGGCAGATGTGTTTAATTGCGAAAGGGAACGGTGCTCGAGTTTTAACGGAGAATTATATTGTTTGCTGTGGTAACTGTTGCTTGAATTATTTATGGACTTGGCATACACCTCAATACTGTGGGGATGTCGAACTACGGATTAGGTTTGTTACGTGCCACTTGGAAACTTATATCGTAGAGCATACCTACTATAGATTATTTCAATAAGCTTATCTTACAAATATACGAAATCTCTGAAAATAAGTTGTCAAACTTTACGACAAGATATTACTTTTTCCATAATAAAATCTACTACTTCGTTGACAAAGTAAGAACAATATAAGTAGAACGCAATTAAATAATCCTTTATTTAAAGAAACAATGGTGATGGAAACTCGCGAAATAAAAATTTCTAAACTTTATATTCATACATTAATGAAATTATCAAAGTAAGAGGAAAGTCGTTATGCTAGTAAGTTATTAGATAATCGTCCTGAGAAGAAATTAAAAATACAATAATCTAAAGGTGTGTCAATGATTTATGATTTATTAGGCGTTTGTATTCTTTCGCCTAACATCGTGTTCTTCTTCAGCAAGTAAAACACGTGAATGAGAAACGGCTGTAGAGTTGCTCTTTCAAATTCGAAGAAACAATCTGGTCTGTCCGTGGCTCGTGCTGTCTCGTGCCACACGTTCAAACGTTGAAAAATGTGACCGCTTTTCATTCAGCTCGTCGATTTGCTAGAGCAGAATGGAAGGAAGAAAAGCATTTGGCTGACACGTGTTACGCACGTTGGCTAGACACCGGGGTTCCGGCACTTTCTGCCTCCTAAACCCGTCTTTTCATTTTCTTATGCGCTATTGTATCACTAGTTATATATCAGATTGTTATACGAATGCTTGTTTATTGTTGTAAATCGTTGAAAAATTAACGATAGAAATTATTCAATTATTCGAAAAATTTGCTCTGGGAAAATAATTTTTATTTTAGTATTTGGTTTGAGAGTTTCATGTCTTCGATCTTGTACTTTTTATTTCAAAGAGCGCACTGGATACTTCATATTTTCCATTCCAAAGAATATTCTGGAAATTTCATACATATTTTCTATTTCTTTTACTCTATTTTTATTACTATGTAGATTTTACGTTCCTACGCTTTTTCCTTCCTTTTCTACCTATCTTTTATAATTCAGCTTTGAAGCACGGGAATAGAAAACAGATCTAGGACATTCCCTGAACCTTTCTCCATCCACGTGCCATTGTCACGTAAACTTAGGGGTTGGTTGATGAAAATAAAAAATAGCTGAGTCGTCTGTATTTCACAGCACAGGTTTACACAGATCGGAGAGATGTTCACTGTTCGATAGTTTTGTCTATTTCTCCTCAGGTGTTCTCGTCTCATTACGGAGGAAAGCTCAGTGTGGGTGTTTTTTAATTAACAACGCGGATTCGCTGTTCGCACCTTCCGTTAGGAAAAGTGAGGGTAACGATTCACGATGCCAATTGGTTATGGGTCATGTTAATAAATGAAGATAGGAGGAGAAAGCCTCCTACCAACGCGGCTAGTAGGTAATATTGTTTATGGGAAAAATCAGCTTTTTCGTTAGTCCAGTATTGGGTTTTTCCCATTAAGTAACTACCCGCTTTCCCCGTAATTAGTGAGGACGTATAACAACCTAAGGGCTGTTTCAAGGACTATCCATAAACAGATTATAGAAATAATAAACTTAAAAAATTTAGGTTTATGGTGGGTCCCTGGGGTAATTGAGGGTACGGACCGAAGACCTGCACACATCCTGCCTTTAATATGAATCGACGTTACACCATCTTCAAAGCATCGTATCACGCGAAAAGGTCCACGGAACAGAATTCAAGCATCGTAAACAAAACCTGTCATCGTTGTTCTCTGGCCTTCCATTTCGATTCAGAAATATTCGTTTCTTATTAGCGCTCGTCCTAATTTTCCTAGAAATCAAAGAACGGAAGTTACCAGAGAGAAATTCAGTGGACGAAGACGAAAAAACAAAGCGTTCGTCGAGGTCGTAGGAAGGCCGAAGGAAGCTCTTTCGAGCTTTCCTCGTTGAAAGCCTCTTCCTGAGACAATGGTCTTAACAGCTGTAAGCGAAGGTACCGATAATCAGCGGCGTCTTCGACGGAAGCAAGACGAATGCATAATGAGCTCACGCATTCAGTCACGTTTTAGTGTTCTCCTCTTCTTCTTCTGCTTCTTCCACTCTCACACCATCATCCAACCAAGGGAATTTGAATTTCTAATGATGTACGAGCTTGGAGAGGATTATCCGCGAACGTACGTCGCCTTCTTTGGTTCTGCGAACGTATACGTTTTGTACTACCAATGAATTAAACTGGATAAAGGTAAATATTTTCTCTGATGAGATATCCTATACGATAGAATCTTCTATTGTCTTGGCTGAAATTCTTTTTCCTGGAGAGAATAATGATGATTTCTAAGTGATTTCTAAATGTTCAGGTTGATATTTTGGAAAGAAAGCCCTTTGCGTAAGAGGAGTTAAATTTTTTGAACTGATTCATCCTTGGACGGTAGAAGCTGTATCAATTCTGATTTCACATTTTATCACTTTTTAAGCTGCATTTACGTATTGTTGTTCTGTATGATTTTACTTTTTAAGCTAATTTAGTTAATTTTCAATCAATTCTACGGTCAATTGCTATGAGATAAAATATTTGACTCTTATGAAGGTAAATATCCAGTATCTGATCAAGAAATAAAAGTGGACAAATTTCGATAATTGCGATGTTAGAGTATTTTTTATTTATTTGTCTTTTTTTAGAACAGGACCATGATAACGATTTAATTAACGAGATAAATTTGCGCTATTTCTGACGTAGTAATCGAATTAATTAAAACACTGTATTATTATAAAGAAGACATCTCTGTCGCCCAGTTTCAGTCGCCTATAGGGCGACTATATTGCGATGTCCTAAGTCCTAAATTAAAGCAATTAGGGACACTGATTGAGCGCCACCGGTGGAGAAACGAATCATCGATTGACAATAAAATTATCCATACTTGCTTAGGGTATAGGAATTAGTATGAGGGGGAGCAGCTAATTCCGGCAGTCAGGAGTCAACACTCGTGCGAATAGCATAGCGTTCTATCCATCCCAATTATAGTCTCAATATATATTTCCTGTTACACGTTCTAAACCTTTATCATGCAATGTATTTAATTCCTTCAGTTTCGAAATTTACCACTGACTGTTCATATCAGCGATCCTCCGATTGTTTTGAGCAGTGTATTTGCATTAAATTCCAAGAAACGTGCATGTGTAAAATATGTGGATATTCTTTGACGCTTTCATTTTTATACATTCTACACAAAATATATAATACGACATAGGATTGCTAGAAAAATTCGAGCAAAACCCGTATATAAAATCTTTTCTTGCCTTCCATTTCAAGTGTGCGTGCGATGATAAAATTGTACGTGTACGTACTGTGGCATTTTCATTTCTACACATATTGTGTAAAATATTTGATACAACATTAAATTGATTGAAAAATTCGAACGAAATTTAAATATAAAATATTTCTTAAGTTTTCTCTAATATAGAATTTCAAACGAACAACAAATATTCTTCGTTACTCACACTTTCGTGTGTACAACCATGTGAGTACAATATTTGCACTTACACGTCGTTACGGTATATCAGGTTATCGAATAGAATACTGCGGTACTGGAAATGGACCGTGTAATGCAGACCATGTGCGGCAAAAACCCTATAACAGATTCACTTTTTGAAACGCTGACGCGCAATTAAGGCAGCCGAACGATGAACAAGTAGCGAAATAAGAGTCGTTCTACCGCGTGGCCCACTATAAAGCAGGGAAAATTAATTTTCGACCGAGGGTTCGAGGGTAAAAGTATAACCGCGCATCTGCAAAGGGTGAATATTCCGGTGAGTTCATAGGAGTTGGATGTTGAATGGAAAATTGAGAATGAAAAATATGTCGGTGCATAGATGAGTCTCTCAATAACATGCAACCCGCTTTACGCGAAAGTATGCCACGATGTTTGTGGTAGGTCTCTGACTTTTCCTCAGTTATACATTTTTAAATAATATTACAAGACAGTGGATACTTATGCAAATTCACATTTTTATAAATATAATTTAAAGAAGTGGAATCCAGGCAGAGGATTGTTCTACTTAAATATTATTATATAACAAGTATTATAGCTTGGATATTTCATATATTGCTATGTATTATGTGCGTTTTATACATTTTGATATCTTCAATTTTTGTATAAATATTGCGAAAATTTATTTTCTATCGAGAGAATAAAATTTATTTTGTTAGAAAAAGATAAATCTAGTAACGTTTTTAATGCTAGTTTTTAATGTAGAATTACAATTTACGGACTCGACTTTTTCTATTTCTTATTATATGCGTATCTCCGCTGTGATGCCGAAATCTAGGTTGGAGTTTCACTGTTTCGAAACTTTTCAAATAGATAGGTGCTGGGTTGTATCTCCGAGGTATTACAAAAGAAAATAAACTTTTTGCCGTAGCTAATCCGAAGAATTTTTAACTTTTTCACATTCTTGCTTTTATATTACAAAAATGATCTCTTCAACTCTAATAGAATTTAAATTAAAAACAAGCGGATCATTTTCTTGTCTTTATTCCTTGAGAATTATTCAAAGACAGAATCCCTCTTACTTGAGAATCTTTCTACAGTTTCCTTTTCTTCACAATCTTTTTTATCCAAGAATAAGAACAATAAGAGAATTTTATCTCTGTTAAAATTCCCTTATTCTTCTTAGTAAAATGTATACTTCTTTATTTGTATTTGTTAACACTTCCTTCACAATTTATCGATACATTGCTGCTGATAGTTACTAAAGATCCCTTTTCTCAAAATTTCGTTATTTTCAACTTTCTACATCCAAATGGTCGTAATCCACATATTGTAATCGTGTATAAATTAATAAAAAAAAAGTTTGCTATCGCTCACTGAACATACTAAACGTCATTACCAAAAATACATTTTCCATCATTAAAGAGCATATCTTTCGTTTTCTGTTTCTTTTTTTTTCCACGTTGTAACGATCAATAGAGTCAGCGTTGATCGATCAGCTGTTGGCACGTGACCGAGATCAGGATCTGGATCACTCGGTCGGTAACGTTGCGAGGTGAGGTTCGAGGTTACGTAGCCGCAAGTGAAAGCCACAAGTCTCTGGAATTTCTGATAATCAAGGCGCAGTATGTGTGTACGTCGATTATAATCGTGAACGTTTCACGTGATCGTCTTACAAATTCATATATATATACGACGAGCCTAATATAAAATACAAAACACAAAGAGAAAGAAAAAGACAATACATTAAATCACTATTATGTGTTATATTAAACCATTTTTATGTGTGTAAAAATCTTGAAAAAAGCAAAAGAAGAGTGCTCAAGGTTTTGGAACATCGATAAAATAGCTTATAAGAGGTAGATCACGACTAACAGTGACAACTAACATCTATTCTACTAACAAAGTATCTATTAATGATTTTGATAGATTTGTCTGTATTAGTATATGTAATGAAATTCTCGATTTTGTACAGTGGAATGTGACGTAACGTGCCACGACTACGATGAAAACGTAACACAGATTATCGAATTTGGCCCGAGAATATTAATTGATCGCCATAAAGCGTTCGTGTTAACGGTTTAAAAAGAATTACTAGTATTGCATAGAAACGGGTTAATTAATTAACTTTGATAGTGGATTAACAAGTATTTAGGAAACGCTAAGATTTACTGTTACTTCAGAGTAGTTCGTTTAATTGCAATTGTGTGTTTGAATCTGGAGTTAAAACAATTTTCAAGAAAAATATTACTTAAAGGTTTGGTTACTAATCACGTTATCGGTTTACAACTTTTAATTCAAGTTACATGTATAATCAATGATATACATTTACGTTGGTCGAAATACTTAGACGATCGTATTTTGTGACTTTGATTTTTATATCCGCTCATTGTGCTTTTTAAGACGATTGCCTTAAAGTCAATCTTTATGAAATACTTGGACTTTTTTCTTTCTGCACATTTAGTGGATATAGCACTATCTATAATCTCTGAAGTATTTTAAATGTCAAGTTTTTTAAATTAAAGTTATTTAATCAAAATTAAACAATTGTGTAAAAAAGTCTACAATATACACTTTATCATTTGCCAATTCACTACAATATTATTATATCATTAAAATAAATTATTGTGGGAAAGAATAGATTCTCGCTTCTTCTAGCTGTTCACTTGTCAATTTGCTAATATTATTACATAATTTATAAATTATTATACTATGCATATGATATGTAATGTATAAGATGATATGTAACGTATAAGAGGATTTGGTCCTTTTATCCGAAACCCAATCTGTCCAGGTGGTTAATTGTCAATTCGCTAATATTATTACATAATAAATAAATTATTGTATAAGAGGATCCAATCCTTTTATCCGAAAACCAATTTGTCCAGGTGGTAGCCTCAGCCGGTAAACGAGAAATCTCGAGACGAAAATCATCCTCGGTTCCCCCTACAGGGAAGACTTAACCAGAGTGCGCAGGAGCTCCTTCCGGAGGGGGGGCGGCCCACGATCGACGGGAGGCTTTGTGAGCCACTGCTGAATTGCGCACACGCGCGGAATTTCCCGGGAATCGGGTTTTTCCGGGTCTCTAACACGGTTCTCCCTCGTTCGGCTCACTCGAGCGTCCGACGCGCGACACGGCAACAGGTGACGACCGGAGGCCGATTACCAGAATCTACCAAACCAGCGACAGCATCTACGGGCTAAGTGTCATCACGCTTTCTCAAGCGTCCACACGCGTCGCGTTCGAATCAAATACGCGCGTAAAAGAAAAAACGACTCCCTTCAGAAAATTCTCGATCTTTCGATTCGTTGTCACGAAATTTTTAACTGGACAATTTTGACCGGATATTGTTGCTGTTGGACTTCGAAGAATCTTCGAAAGGAAGATTGGGGATCGTGAAAAAGGAAACGGAAGTACCAGTGAGGGAAAATGAGCGTCGAAGACGCCATCAATTATAAGCCCAGCGAGGAGGAGGATTACTATGCTCTGCTCTCGTGCGACGAGTCCTCGACGGTAAGACAAATTTTCTGAATTACTTTCGCAAGAGGTTGATTTCCAGAGATTTCGGTGGTTTTCTTCGTTTCCTTTGATTATTACTAGTGACAGGGTTGTTTGCGGAATTGAGATTGAAATTCTTTGCGAAGGAGTGGATTGCTATGTTTCTCTTTCGTGTGACGAGTCTGCAACGCGACGGTAGGTTCTTCGCGAAGACTTTGACACTTGGTAGATGTTTTTATTATTCTTAGTAATAGGGATATCTGTGATCGCTTTTTGAGAAAGGGTTGAGGCTGAAGTTTCTTAAGAAATGTATCGCTGTTTTCTTTCATGTGACGAGCCTGCGGCTGCAAACCAACTTTCTTGAATTTCTTCATGAAGAATTAAGTTACAAGAGTTTTTTTAATATTTAATGGTTTTTCTGATTTGTTTCGTTCAGTTTTTCCAGCTAATAGACTCTTTGTAACGATTTTCTTTGAAAAATGGTTGAGATTTAAGATTTTCACGTGTTCTTCGTTTCTCTCTTTGAAGACTGGTTTTTGAATTGTTGTTGAATTATGTCATTCGGTATCTAGTTAATAGTAATATGAAAAATATGATACAGTAATTTATTAATCAAACGAGGTTCTTCATTCTATAGAACATTTTAATTCCTAGCGTATCTATATTTTGTTATACGTGAATTTTCCGCTTTAAGAAGAATTCCATTTAACCAATCTCTTTCACTCTTAAAGTTTTCGACAAAATATCCAAAACAATGTCTTGTCCGCATACTAGCTGCTTCGTAACCTAAGATCCAATCTGCATAAGCTATGAATGTTTCATCATCCGCGTTATTTGTCAGATTCAATTAGATAGCACCTTGAAAAGTAGAATTTCAAAACGACTCGACTCGTACGGATCCGATTTCCCGACAATTAAACAATTTCCAATGTGAGTTATCTCTGGGCATATCGCGGCTTAAAGTTTCAGATTACTGCACATTTATCTAATGGGATACATACGTATTTAATATACTTTCAGAAGTTATGCGGAATTAATTAGTTTCGCTGTCGGGAGCTCGTCACTGCAGGATAATTGCATCAGCATCGGGAACAACTTTAATTAGCGCTTTGGTTCAACTTCTCGATTAGTATCGATTGTCTGTCGATTGCCACTTTGTTTGACAAAAATATATCACACCGTCGCTCAATGGAAGTTGACAATACGATTACGATCCAATCCGTTTCGCGATTGATATCTTTGACTATGTGAAGTTCACGATAAGTTAAGATGAAAATGAAAATGTCTGATGTTTTCAACGATATAAGGATTTTTAATGGACGAGAAATTGAGAGCGTCGATAGTAGATTCATAAGCCAATAGTTGTAGCTATAAAATAATTATTGCGTTTTCAAATATCTGGTTGACAGCGTACGAACTGTTTTTTCAGATGGAACTTTAGTAGTATGTAGTTTCTTTACAGCATCATGTATTTAATCAAAATAATTTATTTATTAGGTTTATAAGAATTATCGATTGTAGAATTAATAAATTCTTGGAATTAAATTGTTGTAGATTTTTTGAAACTAATTTGTGTATCAAAAAATTGTTTAGATGGAGTAGAGAATATGTTTGACCTCCCCAAAATGATAATTCTATGTTATCAACATGCATCGTGATATTTTGCTTTATATAAACAAATTTAGCCGATATCCTATCTAAGTAATATTCTTATTATAAATTATTTCTCTATTGTTCTATTATCATTGGTCTATAGTAAATTTCCTCTTTTCTAAAAATTCAATAGATGATAATAGTTGCTAAAATTATGTTTTATATAACACACATAATATGTGCATAAAGGTCTCCTGTAGTAACTGCTGAAATATTTACACGGGCCAGTGTATTCACAACATTTACATTGCAACACTGCGATAAACCATGGTCTTTAAAAGTTAAAATCCTGAAAGGGAGGAAGAAGTAACTCAACCCCATGCAACAACCCCTAGCAAGATGATCTTTTCGCGTCGTTGGAATATCGACTAAACGTGAAAGCTTGTTCGATTATAATTTCCAGAGAAGTTGTCCAAGTAAACAAGCCATTTCCACGGCGCAAAGAGTCGATCAGCCTTCGATCCACGTCTCGTTCCATCGGTGAATATCATGTGAAAGTCATCGTAGACCCTTTCTAAGGAATTATGTCAGCGTTCTACGCTTGTTTTCTCTCTGTTCGCGTGTTTCTCGCGATCTACTAAAAATAAACGACGTTGCTTTAAATAAAACCCGAGGGTTAATAATGAGTGATCGTGTTCGTCTGTTTGCCAACGGTCTGGCGGGTCCATTAAGGAACTCTACGCCCATTAAGCGAATTCGTTAAATTGCCTGGCAAATATCAGTCGTCTTCATTTGCCAGGAAATCGACGAACGGAGGGTAAACAGCCCTTCCGTGTCGATTACTTTCGACTACTATCATGATGTAAAACACCTGGGAAGGTGCCTGGAAATATTCATTGGCGTAACTTGGAAGAATGCACAATTTTATAGACTTGATGTTCTTCTTCCTTTTTTTAAGGCTTCTTAGTTGAAGAGTATAAGGAAAAAATTGGATACGTAAATGGCGAATTTTCAAGTAAATTTATATCATTATATAAGTAGATATTTGTTTTATCTGTTGGTGAATTTTGAAGAACGTTCAATTTGTTAGATACAGTGCGCATCTTTCCTCTCGGAGAATATTTTTTCTGTTCTTTTTTAGATCCTCTTTAATTATAAGGAACAAATTTGTTAAGTAGACTGCTGATTTTTCTATTGAATTTCTACTTTAAGTATTTTATATATTTTTATATATTGTATACATCTTGGGCATATTTTTAAATTTAAAAATATACAATCCGGCGATAAGTCGTGTTTTCCATTCTTTAGAATTCAACGCACTTTAAAATAATTCTATTCATTGATTAATATTCTGTAAATTGTCTGTCTGGCTGGTTTTGAGATTAAATATGCACGTGTTTTTACCATCCTTCTGAGTGTTTCAATTGTGACTTTGATATTTTTTATAAGATTTCTTTGTTCGAACAAGTTTTTAATTACGTTATACTGAAATACTCCAAGTGATATTAAAACTAGAAAATTCACAAGGTTATAATAACAGAAAGAAAAGTCATTAAAAAATCATTTAGGGGATTCTAAAGAATTACTAGAAAATAAAATTACCTAGATTATCAGTGAAAATCGCAAAGTTAATAATTCACGTGATCAGGAGCGTGAAGTTTAAATAAAGGATGTGTAATGAACCATCCCCCTTACTGCTTCCTTCAAAGCCATCCCACACATCCTGTACGTCTTTTTTAAGGTTAATTAACCATGTGGTAACTTTCAACTTATTCGAATTTTTTTTTACCTAAAAGATTCTTAAAAATCTATATTCCAGGTGGAACAAATCACGGCAGAGTATAAGGTGCTGGCTCTTCAATATCATCCGGACAAGAACGAAGGTGATAAGGAAGCTGAACGGAAATTTCAGCAATTGCAGGTTTGTTTCCGCGGTCTATTCTCGTTTCTTTACTCGCATATGGTCGCAACGTGACTCATGAGGAAGTTGTTGCACGATTGCTCCATTTACGTTAATCTGCCTCGTCTTGACGATACGATTTAACCAATGTATAATCGTGTGATTGTATAGTCCGTGAAATTTAAATAGCACGGTTGTAAGAGATTGATCGACAACTAAAATTCAAACTCTGTAAGCAAAGTTTTCTTCGTTTAGCATCTTTTACTTCGTTTTCACGAAGTGAAACCCATTTAATTGTACCCATAAAAATATGAATTTTGCATAAACATCCGTAGTCTAACAATCATTTAAATTTAAAAATATGAATTTTGTATAAAAATACGTAGCCTAATAATAATAATTTATGTTTTAATTTACAACCATGCTATATCTGCTCCATCTAACCGACTACACTTCCGTTTGATTGCGACCAAGGTAACGCGATTTCTTTTTGTCGCAGCACGCGAAAGAGGTTCTCTGTGACCCTGAGCAAAGGAGCAACTATGACAAATGGAGGCGTAGCGGGATCGCCATCAGCTACAAGCAATGGCTTGGAATGAAGGATCACGTGCATCAGGTGAGGAGAATTCGATGGGAGTTCTTCGGCGAAATTTTTATTGCTCGATGGCGAACAATGCTTGCAAAATCGTGCGAGAAATTTCGTATCTCGTGGAAAGAAAAGAAACTTGCGACGATGTTCTTTCGACATTGTAACTTCCATAGATAGAAAACTGGTATTGGAACTGACTATTGCAGGCTAGGGAAAATCATATTAGGTTAGCAGAAATCTCCGAATTTGAAATTTAAGTCGGAGTTTGCAAGCGGAGAAGTAAACGAGTAGATTCGTTTTTTCGTAGATTTTGAGATTCTTACATTTGCTTTGAAAAGTGTATCTACGTATATTTATTTCTTCGAATTTGAAGAGTTTTGTATAAAGGAAAGTTTTGTCGAATTTACTTTCGTGCTTCGAAGGAGAGTATTTGAAAAATGAACTTTTATTAAATTTATTTGATACGTAATATAATCTTTGATATTTTAAATTTGACTTTTAGTCACGTTTTTCAATTATATGGAAACAGTTTGCCAGTGATTCAGAACTTTAGTAGCAGAAAGTTTTTATTAGAAATTTCTCGCACGACGTTATTACTTTTCCAACTAATACACCTGACTTCATTTTCTGATTTTCCGTTCTATCGATCCTTCAAGCTCATCTAACTCAAAACTAACTATAACACACAATTACTCATAACCCATACAACACACAAAATAATCCAACTATGACAACAATGGGTCATTTGCGATAGAAATCACATACTATAACCAAGCAAAATTTTTCCAATCAGATTCTAAACTTACTTTCACTATGTAAGCTTTCCAAATCGTTGTTCGATGCTCTCTATAAAATATCAAACTTAATCCAAACTGTGACCCATTCACAAGTGACCTATTCTGCTCGCTCATTTCTAATCTTCTTAACAAAATAAAAAAGAAATATACATATATATAAAACAAAAGAAAAAAGCAAAAAGAATAAAGAAAGAGCACTCGAATGCGCTATAGTCGATGCACTGGAGCATACCGAAGACGAAGGATCGCATGCTGCAGGACGCGGCCGCCGAATCTGCTGGTTCCCCTGGTCACACTAGCAAGGCGCAACCAGCGAACGCTCACAGAAGAGCTTCGGAGGGTGGCGCGAACATCTATTACGGTGCACGTCGTGACCTTGGCTGGGACTCGGAGGCGTCTAACGAGGTGGTGAACAAGTTCCGCAACTACGAGATCTAAAGGTGCGACGTCGTTCTCCAATTTCTGGTCGTCGTCTGGACCAACGATCGCTCGCTCTGTGTATCTACCTTTTTTCTTTTCTTTTTTTTTTTTGCGAAGTATATCGAACGGAACAAACGGATGAAGCATCATAAGCAAACGTAATGAATTACGGATACTCCGTCTCGTCGTGAATTTACCGCTCCTTGTTGTCCAACCGAGAAAACCTCAAGGAAGAATGTTGTTGAGTTTGAATTGAGATTTTGAGCGAAGATCATGTTTCTGTTATCGTTAACTTTGCAAAAAGTTTGGTCCTTTTTCTTCTTTTTGTCATTGTTATTATTCCACTAGTATCGTTATTAAGAAAGAAGAATACTAATTTTATCATTGGGTGAGTTTTGTTGATTTTGAAGTGGATAAAGACTGTATTTATTGCAAGTGTTCGGAGGAAGATATTTGAAGATTCTAGTTCGTCTTTTAATATGTTAAATATGTACGATGCAGATTATCCATAGTCGAGAGCAGTTTCTGTTCAAGTCGGTAACGCTTTCTGCGAATATAAAATAAATAACGGCACGAGCTATCGACGGCAGACGCAGATTGAATGGAATATTATGCGAGAGTGGCAGGGAACGTGCCAAGATGGAGAACATACTCGATATGAAAACTGTGCGATCATCCAAGTGGATACTTTGTAATTTGATCGATCATACAGTATATGAATTTGCAAAGGCCGAAGGAAATACGCTGCAAATCTTCTCTTGCAATTCTTATGACTATCGAAATTTAAAAAATTTCGATAATTAATTTCTATTGTCTACGTTTGAACAATTTCACAATATTTAATTGGAATTCTTAATATTCACAACGGTGAAATGCGACTAACCGAGCAGGAATAAATTGAACAGCAAAAGTCGGCCACAGAGTATACGATATCGATCCTGCTTTAGAGATCTTTTTATGGGAGAAGGAAGAGGGAAACCAGAGGGAAACTCGTTTAAAGTTCCAGACGAGAAAAGAGGATGCTCTCGAGGTTTCTCGAAAGAAGTGTCACATTTTTCTTATTTCCATTTCTTCCTTAAAGTTTTGTTTAAGTGTCACGAAACAGAGCGACAAGGAAGAGAAGAATATTGAAGAAAGCAAAAAGAAGAAATCAGGGCGAGAAAAATCGAAGGATCGGCTAGACGGTGCTTTAATGTCGTATCAAGAGAGAAGCTAAAATCCACGATTCCACGAAGGGATTCAAACGTAAGAAAATAACTAGTTGTTTCTACTATAACGTTACTCGCGATAGAATTTGCTTAAGTGGTCCACTTCGAGCTGAATGAATTTCAGTTTCTAAACAATCCTGAGGAATAATGTATATAACATTCATATGTTTTTGAATTTTTTTACTTATTGAATTGGGAATAATAAGAGAATAATGTTGCCTTATTTTGGTGAAATTAATTGATGATAGATTGTCCTGATTTTTATTAACAATTTTTAACATTCACCTATCTCATTTATTTAAAATGAATTAGAATTAAAATACACAGTTGCTTTTTAAATCAGAATCTCATATATTCTGTGAAAAAATATCATCCTGATAAAAAGTATTATACTTCGTTTTAAGGTATCTATTCACAAGTTTTAAGGAAAATCAGCGACGAGAGATACAAAAATTCGAAGAAATTAGTCGAGAAACGTTCCTAATCTCAAGTTGCGAAGATAATTCAATTCAATTGACATTCCTTCGTATCACCCTTTGTAAAGTATGTACGATTTCCAAAACAGTGATTTGTACCACTTAAATAGTACTTCCATCGCCGAGTAGCTAGAAGAAAAAAAGTAACTCGTTGTTTCTACATTGAGTATTCTTCAATGGAACGCTTGAACAGTTTAGACGTCGAATCACAAAAGCTTCGTACGCGCGAATATCGAAATATATCCTCGATCTTTTCCAAGCGAAACATTAGTAACTTTTGTGTCGTCGAAGATAAGATCGTCGAATAAACTGATTAAGCATAGTTATTCCATTGTTGAGCAAATCGATGACGGCGCACTTGTACCTGTGTCAAACGCAAAGTATATATCGTTTTTTCTCGACCACACTTGAATGTTCGAAACCTTCACGACCCCATAGATCCACGTCATACTTTTCTGTACTTAAATCAGTCCTTTCGCTGAAAGAAAATATATCGAATAGACACTAATTTATTGTTATGTGAACTTTTAATATATAGATGTTCGTTAATAAAATTGCGAACGAGTCTTATTCATCTCGATCATATTCATTTTTGTCGGTCCCACACCCTTCTTTTTTTACGTAAAATATTTTCCAATTAAATTTTAAAATATTACCGGGACGATACCGAAAAAAATTCATCGTCAAATATTGTCCTTTGCTTTCGATTAATCCACTTCGACGCAGACTGAAAACGGGAACAACGTACCAAAGCACGGAGGATCAACTTTGCGACGAACAATCTAAATTTTCGAGAGGAAACTCGATGGAATTAAAACGCTAGAGCTTCGATTTATCAATTTTCCCTCAGGCAATTTCTAAAAATGTCAGTAGTTTTAAAAAGTTACACTTTATATCCACGTTATTTTACGTTCATTCATCAGCGAAAGGATTTAACAGCACTTCTGATTTATTATCAACAGACTGCGGATGTTTATACATTTATGAGAAATTTAAACGTGAAAAAATGTATAAAAAGGAACATAATACGGAGAAATATAGTTCTTGACAAGAGATTTTACACTTTACGCTTCATAATCTTCACGAAGTTCCTTTAATTTGTTACAGCAGTTATATTCAAGACCATACAATTACTATATTAGTTAACAAAAACAATACACTTTTTACTCGTATACTCAATATCCCCGAATCGCATTTTTTATTGAAAATTATTTATTATTTTGAAGAAACTTTTAGCAAGTCCGTGTATATTTTCTATTATATTCACATCGGCTGACAAAATATCCAAAATTTATTATAATATTTAGGTGAAACAAGTCACTAATTAAGATCCATTTCTTCGCTTATATTCTCAAAAATTTGTATAAAAATCCACAGTCTAGTTATCATTCTCTCATCATCGATAGAATCCCATCTCACTACAGCGAGTTACATCATTCGTTCGGCATCACCCTGTCTGAAGAGCAACCGGTCTCGTGATAATTTCTCGATTCATAGATTAAGTTTGGTTCTTCGTTTCAATCACCACGAATACGAATATATCGATAGCTAGTCGACGAGGAATTTTTCTAATGCACTCGAACGTCGTCGTTGCGTTCCGCGTAATTAAGGCACGTAGACGTAGAAGCTAATGATTGGTGGCCGAAAATAGCAGCAGTCGACTCGTACGTATCGATGTGACCTTTCGATATTAGTATGTAAGGCTCCGAGGTACGGCTTAAAACGATCCTGTCTCCTCGAATTTATTTTCACCCGTGTCCAGATATCGTTCCTTTTCTTCTTTTTTATTTTATCCTTAGCTCACTTGAACTTTCCATAGAATCGTTCGATCGGTCGTTTCGTCCGTGTGGATTTTCAAAACCGGACCGAGGATTCGGGAACGTAGATCGGTCGGAAAGCGAGGGGGAGAGGATAAACGAGGAATCAAAAGTAGAGACAACATATATCGATGGCAATGCTGCGAAATTTTTGCGATGGAAAACCGGAAACGTAGCGAGTGTACCGTTGTCGAGAGTATTTGAGTCGAATGACGCCACGCGCTATCGATCACGGACGAGGAAAAAATAAAACGAAGAAAAAGTGGTAAGGTAGGAGTCGCTGATCTATCTTATAAAACAAGAAAACAAGGATTGCCCGAAAGAATGGGAAGGTTAAAAGAAAAATCGATAGTGCGTGTACGTGTTGAAGTTTAAAGATCAGAATCGGCTTCGTTCTCGAGTTTCTATGACGTAAAACACGTGTAATTATTCGTAAGGTAAAAGTAACGTGGAATCGTAAAAGGGAACCAAATATTAAATATAACATGAAAATAGAGAAAAAGAAAGGAAGTAAAAAAAAAAATATATATATATATATGGTCGTCCAAAGTCGAGAACGAGAGATCGATCTTCGAGATCTCATCACACTACCCGTGTATCTGTCTTCAAAGAATGAGAGAAAAAGAAAAAAAAATAGGAACGATAAAGCAAGTTTCGAAAATATTCTGTACGTGTGTTGTTCCCACATCTATATTTTTCTAGACGCGTCTCCGCGATTCCGCCTCGTGGAACACTGTACCTTCTATCGATTTATTATTTCCACGCGATCGACTTATCGATGGTATCGTGCATCCGGCCGAGAGCTGGGAGAAACCTGTCGTTCGATGAAAAGAAAAAAAAGAAGATACCGTGGAATTTTTTTCGTGCTAAACGTTGCTACAGTTTTTACGGAGTATTCGATAAAAAATTGCTTGCCTTTTTAGGGTTCCTTTTCTTTTGTCTTAAATAGAAAGCTTAATGGAATATTTTGTAATTCACTCTAATCTTTAGTCCTTCTTTTTTCCTTTGAGAGTTTCACGAAGGTATGTTTACGATCTTTTAAAATTGTAATACGATTAAATTTTATACGTTTCTAGGAAAATATTATAATTATGTATGCCTCTCTTTGAAAATATGATTAATATAAGATATTAATAAAATGTAATTAAAGATGAAGGTATAAAACGATGGTTTCGTCTCTCCTCGTAAACGCGTGAATCTCTGTTATGTACGTATAAATATACAAATAAATATACATACACATATATATAACGTATAAGATATAAAAATATATTATAATCGTCACGCGCTGGACGACGCGACGATATGTATCTATGCGATTAAAGGTTCAATAAATGTGTTTAATTAAGAACAGTTTGTTTCGTACATTCGTTAACCCACAATATGAACACTCCTCCTTTTTGTAAATTCCGCTATTCCAAAAAAATATATCATTTATGAGATATTTTATTAAATACTCAAAGTGATGTTTCGTATTTCGTTAAAAGATTAAAAAATTAGAAAATTTTAATTTTAATATTCTAATATCATCAAACTTCATAAGTATTTTCACATTAAAATTATACTATTTTTTAATAATTGAAAAATATTCTCCCAAATTATTTCAAATAAAAGATCCATATTCCTAACTGAAACAAAGTTGCAAAATTAATCCTGAATTAATCTATTGTTTATTTGTTCGTTCGGAACGTCAATATGAATTTTTAATTCCTTCTCATCGATACACGAGGAATAATATTCTTTTGTTAAAAAACATTCACATTCAATTTCGGATGTTTCTCTTTAATTTTTACTATTCATAATTAGAAACACCATTTGTTCCAATTCAGTGTCTTTTCACTTGCCACTACTTCCTGACAAATAATTCTCTTTCAATCACTATTTAAAATATCGGAGCTTAATTCTGATTGTTAGAAACTCCTCAAACTTTCCACACAACCTAATATGCATTTGCAAACGAGTCACGAGTGATTTTTTCCTCTTCGAAATCCAAAGAAATCAGAGTGTAAATGTAATTTTCCAGCAAAGTAACAGGAGAACTAGAATTTAATTACGACAATCGGGAACCCTCCAAACTTTCCAAACAGCACAATAATTCCAAACGAGTGGAGAATGATTTCCCAAATGCTTCGAAATCCAAAGAAATCAGACGGTGAATGCAGCTTTCCAGCAAAGTAACAGGAGGATAGGAACTGAATTTCGACTGTCGGGAACTGTCCAAACTTTCCAAACAACGCAATAATTCCAGACGAGTCACGAGTGATGTTGTTGCCCCCATGTCCCAAACTATTCTAAGTCCAAAGAGATCAGAGTGTGAATGCAATTTTCCAGTAAAGTAACAAGAGAATAAATTCGAATCGAATGGAAAAACCGATCGCGACCGTTTGGAAAAACTGGAATTGAGTTAGCTGTGTGTAACGCGGGGAACAATAGACTGCCGCAATCCTTTGTCAGCGATGGAAAACTTTCCCTATCTCTTAGGGCACATTCACAAACGTGTTCGTACAAAACGTGCCACCCACACAGAGAGAAACAGAGAAAGAGAACGCGTGCGGAACCGTGGCCTAATTCACAGCCACGCGAAACTTAATGTCGTTTGTTCGTCGAACGAGCATTCATTCCGCGTTATCCACTACGGACGATGGGATACAGAAGCACCTTTCATTCACTCGTGTCGCCTCTTTTCACCGGTGAACTCGGATGGAAACGGCCACGTAAACTCGCCTTTGTCGACAATTAACATTAGCTTCTTTGTCCAGCTCTGATAGAAAACTCGCCACATCGTTGTCACGTTTTAATCAGACGGCATTGAGAACACAGGGAGGAAGAAAAAGGAACGGCGCGTCGAAGAATAAGAATATGTTTCTGCGGGGATGGACTATTTTCTAAGTTAGACAGCGAGTGATATTCAATGATATTAGAGACGTTCATAGCATATGGACTACTGCATTCTTCGTACACATTGATTTGTTATTTATTATGTTTATTTCTAGGGGATGGTAACTCTTCGTTTTTAATAATTTCTGGTAATTTGTTAATTTGGAAAGGATAAAGCTGTTCAGCAGCAGGTCTGAATCTAGTTGGAAGTGAATTAGAAAAGAAGGAAAAGGTACAGTGCATCGAAGGACGAGTAGTTTCTGTAAGAGTGAATTGTTCTCTAAGTTTGATAGGGAGTAATATTTAATTCTGGACTATTATATACGCTGAACTATTACTATTATTACTATATTTTTCGTTCGTTACAATTATTTCTAAGAAATGGTAGCTCTTTGTTGTTTATCGTTTCCTATATTTTGTCGACACTGAAACACTGGTGTTACGCACAGATATCCTGCAAGGATTAAGTCTCATTAAGTCATAAAGCACTTATCCAGTTAGCAGCTGCTTGCCACGCGCCATGACTCAGGAGTTTTCCATCCCTTTACATTCTGTATCAGCATACGCAGTTCATAAGGGTTGATTGCGTGCTATGGTCATTGGGAAAAACCTAGCGGATCCTCGCTGGTCGCTTTGTACCCTCGAGGGCCCGTAACGTGGGGTTGATCATTTGCAAAAGTTTATCGATCATATTGAACTAATCATCACTCATGCAAACTCAAATGTGTAAAAAACCAGTCCGCGTGTTTCTCCTCGTGAACAACTCTCGTATGAGCAACTATAATAGCCTCATCTCAAGTAGTTTAGAGTTAATGTGCGTCAATCGCTTTTTCAATAATTCATACCACCCACACTCGGTTTTGTAATACAGTCCGTTCTCTAATAAACACTATAATTCCTATATTAGCAAGTGATCCTTGCCATTACTTACTTTACGGGCTAATTACTTAGTAGCCCTTTACTTGCTGACAAATAATCTTTGTCTATCATTTTATTTTACTGGCAAATAAATACTTGTCAGCTTATTATTTCGGTGGCAAATGATCTTTCCTGCTACATCTCACGAGCCTAGTGTCTTGAACAGTTAGATCTATTCAATAATAGCACAGTTAATAACATTTTGATTGCGGTATAAGGTTTCCTAGAATAGTTTAACTATTGTTAGTGTTGGAGATTGTATGTTAGCGTAGCATTACAGGTTGACAAGAAGTCTAAATGAAATGGAAACGGATTGGAGCCAATGGGGTGTGTGTGATGTTGATTGCTTAATCAATTTTCTCTTATTATACTTCCCATGATTTGATAATTATAATATAATTATCTATCTATAATATGATATTTATAATATGATCGTAAAATAATAACATGTCAAAAACATTAAGTTTTTGCGGATCTTGAGAAGGTTAATATGAATGGAGCATACGAGTTGTGAGCTATTAGGAATAGATTGATTATCGCGTGTAAGGAGATTCAGAATTTAATGAGTCGTTGCAAAGTTTAATTGGATTTGGTAGAGGTTGAATACACATGGGTAATGTGTAGATATTAAAGGGTAGGTAACGTCCGGCTCTGTTATATGAATTTAAAGACCGTAATTTTACAAAAGCGCAGTTACCACGAATATAAATTATTTATCGCATTTTTTATGTTTTACCACAACTGATTAGTGCTTTGGAAATTTCGAACAGTTTTATGGAAACTTGAAAAATTGTGGCTGTTCAGATTAACGATATTTCGAGACATTCCAAGCTCTATGAATTCCAAGAATTCCATAAACTTTAAGAATTCTGAGAATCCCAAAGGGTACAAGAATCCAAAAGCCTTAAACACCTTGGAAACTCTAGGAACTAAAAGCATCCCATAAACTCTGAAGACTTCTGAAACTTTAATTTTCCTTTATTTCCCCAGAGACTTCTAAGAATTCATCGAATTTTCAATGCCTGTGCAATTTTTCAGATTATCAAAATTCCCAAAGCTCTATATAGAATTCTAGCTCTATAAATTCCTATTCTAAAGGTTCTTATAAATTTTAGAATTCCTCGATTTCCAACCTCAACGACCCTTCTCATCGCCATTCACCTTGTATCCAATCAATGCGCCGTTGAAAGCTCAGGAACACGATCTAATTATAAGCACGCGTTCCAAACGAAGTACATTTTTCTAGACTTCCGTTTTATTCGCATGTGGCGCGTCTTCGCGAACAAAAGGATCACAAACAGCAAGCACTCATCAGATAAACGATCGAAATTGCTGGGAATTCCTTGAAGCGCAAAACGAATGTCTCGCCCCAATTCCCAATCATCCACCGGTTGAATAGCATTCTCTATTGGGTAACAAAATTCTCCATCGTAAGCTCTGCGGATGGTAGAACGTGTCGAATCAGATGAGGACACGGTTCGCGGAATAAAATAGCAATTAGCCATGAGCTTTCCTTTTCAAATTCCATTCCCATCCCCAGACTCGACCAGTTTTATTGATCAGATTTATTTACCAGATTGATACGACTTACTTCGTTACTTTCATTATTTTGGACGGAGCGGTAAATGCGATCGATTCTTGCCCGATCGTTTGTTGTGCCAGGGTAAGAAATAGCGTAAGTCATAAATTAAACAATCGAGTATTGGCGCCGTCTGGTATCTAAGGATTGCACGTTGCATTCTATTTTAGAGTTCTGCAGAACAAACGACTTACGATTAATATTAGATTGCAGAGTTTTATGCATTCGTAGGAAATTTAAAGGTGGAAAGGTACAGGGTAGGATACATATAATATAGAAAAATGTATAAGATAGAGTAACATTTAGTAGGTAACATGATTTCTTAATTGGGTTCCATGTTTTTAATTGTACTCATAAGAATATGAATTTATATAAATATTCGCAGTGTAATGATATTTCACTGAAGGAGCTCGGAAAGATGGTGCAATTGATAGAATTTTTTAGTTGAGAAAATTTGTGAGTAAAGTTAAACTTTAATGGTAGAATTGCCAAGGTGATCAGAATAACGAATTCATAATCTTAACAAAAATTTTATAGATCTATAACGAGATTGAGGGAAACTTGAAGGATGTTGGTTTTGGTTTGAACAGATGTGGAGAAGCTAGTTCACGTAAATATTCTATATTTAGAATTTCATTTTTCTGGATTTATTTATGATGATGTTCTCTTTAAACAAGTTTTATAGTTTGTAATTCCTTTGAGGTTGTTGAAGAGTGAACTTTAATCAATCTGCTGTAAATAGTTTTCAGTCTGTGATATTATTATAGTCTTGTGAAACTTCAGGACGTCTTGTTCAATTGGAAATCGTATTTCTATATAACTTAAGAGAACGTCAGATTTATGTGAAAGTCAATAAAGTGGATGAGACACTGGAGGTGAGTAATCTTGAAAGGGATAATTAATGTATAATATATAGCAAGACGATTAAATTCGACAGATTCCCGAGAGATCAAAAGTTTATATTTCTTAGAATTTATCC